TTACAGAATATTTGTTTTATTCCTCCACCTAAAAAGATACAAAACGGGTTGACAATTTGTGGCCTCCAGATTTTACTGAATGACAATTCCCAGCAGCAAAGCCAGCATGCTCACAACTGTAGTTCAGCAACACTTGGTAAACCAGAAATTCTCCATTCCTAATCTTTTTTGACAAAAGTGTTAACGCTCAGTCATAGTAAAAACATACAATAATTCAAGTCAGAACAAGGGATGTGCTAACAGGCACATAAATTGCAGTATACCCCAGTATTATTCATAATTAAAAGGAAAGCAACCCATACCTTTGGAGTTATATAGTCACCAGAGCTTGCATCAGAAGAATCTCTCCTTTCGGATCCAGCTACTTCAGAATTATCCCTGACTTCGGTGGATTTGGCTGCCACAAGTAGATTTATCATTGGATGAGATATATCAAGTATAGTAAAGTATCATAAAAAGCATTCAGCTACTTATGATTTATTTGCTGTATGGCCATAGACCAAACGTTTACATAAAAAACATAGTTTACAAGGGCAAGCATTCTAATAAAGGGAGAAATTAGCTCTACGTGATGGCTAAGATATAAAGGATATCTAGTACAACATGTACAGCTGTCTTAACCTTTACCTTCATGCACACACATAGGCATTTCTGGTAAAGGGCATTATTAAACCTTCCTTCCATGATGTTCAAGAGTAGAGCATCAAAACTTGGCAATATGAATGCCATTCTAGGAGGAGCAAAGAGAATATAAAAATATTTAGGGATGGTGTAAAGAATGCCACCAAGGTCCCTACAGCAGTGATATAAAGTTTTAGATTTGTTTTAAAAATCTAAATGAAGCACACTCTGCTTAACTTCAATCAGTCCAGTTTTTCTGGACTCAAGATGGATAATGGGCTCAGAGCCCACTATAGGCCAAATCAGAGGCTACACATTCCTTCCAGACAAAGCACACTTATCTACTAGAATAAGTTAGCCAAAGACTTGCCTCCAAATATTTGTTTCAAACAGCAGAGTCTTATATGGGCCTCTAATGAGGTACAGCCAAACTCTAGCTGACAAAATGCATTTGCACCTGAAGAGGGAACACAGAACTTAGCACTCAAAAATGTATACCGAATTGCTTCTAAGGCAGTTACTGTATATCTTTGAAAGTGCAGAAGCAAGAGGCTTTATAGATCTAGTATATTTCCAAGCAGTGGCATTTAACCTGGCCAAAGTTTTATTAGGATTGCAGCTTAGTATAAGTGTGCAATTGTTGACTTCTGGGGGAGATATGGCAAACTACCACATCTCCAAAAGAGTGGAGATGATGACCATGGCAAAGACTGAAGAACCGGCCAGTAGACTGGTTCTACAGAACTTCTCCAGATAAGAAGAGGACAGATTACCCACATGTACTCTGGATGGCTGCTCCTCGTGAGGAGACCACAGGACAGTGGTCTCACACAGGTTTGAGTGCCAGGAGACAGAGAGATCAGCCATCATGCTCATAACTGCAGCACAGACTTTTAAAGAATAAGGTTCATTAACCTCACTTTCTAATCACTTTTGGAAATTGCCTATTTAACTATCTTAAGATTATTAGAGGTCTTTGGAATGACAAGTTTGAAAAGCCATCTGGTGAGTTTACCTTCATTCTTGTACAAAAGAAAAATTAACCATAAGTTTAAGAATCTAATGAACTGGAAATAAACAGCAAAAACCTAAATAAGACTTTGATCCAAGAAAATTATAAACTAATTGAGGGTCCAGGCAAATTTGGAATATTGAGACTTTTACTACAACATTTTGGAAATAATTTATATAATTATTTATATAACAGCTTTTCACTGGTACCAAATTGTTTTGTCTATCTTAAGTCATAATAAAGATTTGAGACTTCATGATTTCAGAAATTGGACACTAGAGGGGACTAAAGAATCCAGGCAAAAAAAGAAAAAAAAGTGAAAATTTGCCTTTGGGTTTTGGTTAGTACAGGGATTTACAAAATGACACAAAACTTTATAACATTTGAAATACTCCAGAAGATTTTTGAAGAATGAAGTCAGAAATTAGCAGCTACAATGTCAGCAATTATGTCTGCGTCTATGGATAGACTATGTCCAAAAGAAGTCAACAAAGGAATGACAGATGTGAAACAAATTTTGCCTGATGTGGAAATATTAGAGCCAGAAATACAGGATAATTAAAAAAAAGTGTGGATTATAAGAGAAAGCAGCTAAAGTGGAAACATTTATGTTTCCACTTTAGCTGCTTTCTCTTATAATCCACACTTTTTTGGCTTGTCCACACTCTCTTGGCTTGTCCACACTTATAATCCACACTCTCTTGGCTTGTCGTTTATAAAGAATGACCCAGATAAGGACTTTCTATTGGATATAGAAAAGTAGTTGGCTAAAGCTTTAAAAATTAAAGTGGAAATACAAATGATAAACCAAGAGAGCAAATTGGATAATGACTTTTTATTGGATTTACAAAAGAGGCTTACTAAAGCCTCAAAGAAGCCTTTGGAAGGGGAAAAAGAAAAGTTGAAGAGAGACCAAATCCTACGACAACATCGGAATGAATTAAAGATCAAGATTGTTAGAAGGAAAAGAAAGGAATATGACATTGGTTTGTTTGACCAAGATTAAATAAGACATATTTCTATAAAGTTTTGGCAACCCTTTACAGACTTTTTGCTGAAACCAGAACTGAAATGTTGCTGGTTTATGGATTTGCATACACATAAGGGATGGGTTCTGGGAAGAAGAGATACTTGTTTGTAACCTTAGAGAGGGTGAAGAGTTATTAAGTTTGTCTATACTTGTGATGAAGATCAGAAGTCACTTCTTTATATATATATTCTTTATCTTACTTTCTCCTTTTTCTTTTTTTTCCCTTTTTCTTCCCTTGCGCTTTTTATTCTTTCTATCTCTCTTGGAGTTTAGTTTGTATTTGTTTTTACTATTGTAATCAAAATTTTCAATACATTTTTTTTAAAGTGTGCAATTTTCCGTTAGTTTCAGCAAGTTACTCTGTCTCAAAACATCAGTCTTCTTCATTAACATGAAAAAAGCCACATGAAGATCAAGTGACCAATAAGGTACCCTAGAAAGAGCATTTCCCAAGGAATAAATGTTTATCATAACCTTTCTCCATTTTATGCAGAATATGTACAACTAGTTCTTCAGTTAGGATACCCACAATGTGAAACTACATAAAGGCTTAGGACTGGGCTATCAGTGGTTAGTATATATTCAGGTTAGAACTTGTCATTGCATAACATAATTAAGAATGAGGCAAGCTGGAGCAGCCAATTGCTTATTATTTGCTAAGGTTGGAGCAATAGCTGATAATTTAGGTTGTCCTACAACAGAAAGAAGCATAGCTCCTACTTTATCCAGTTGCAGTTTAAAGCTTTCTTTTATCAGAATGGTTGCAAGTTTTCTTCTTTCCATTTATTACGTATTACTTAAATCCTCTGAACCAGTTCAAGATATTTTAGCCTATTTCATTTGGAATACCATGTCTACTTTTCATAGAAGAGCTAAATCCAAATTTAGATATTTAAGTATCCACAATTGCTTTACCTGTTGCCCAAGATGGTGGATTTTCTTCTGGAGTCCCAAAGATGGTAGATGCCATCTTGTTCCTTTTTCCTCCTTGTTGGTCTTTTGGCAAATCAAATCCTAAGCTGAAATTGGAACCACCACCTGGAGGGCGAAGAACCCTGGAAAAAGAATGAAGAATTTTATTAAGGTTATGGGGGAGAACCTATATATAACTTATAGAATATGGTATATTTCATTACTACTCATTTTAAACTAGTTTCTTGGTTTATTAGAAAGATATGGCCAGGAACCAGAAATTCCTTTTTGCTCCAACCAATGACTGAAATACTGATTTACAATCATATGTGAAGGAAGAGATAAGGGCCCATTACACTAATTTATTTTCAGAGAAAACTGAAAAACAAAAATTAGTTAATAGAATTCCCAACATGAATTATCATTACTATTTATGGTTAAGAAAGGAAAGGAGAAAGATCAGATGAAACAGGGGAAACTTTTACAGGGGCTGCTACAAGTCCCAGATCTTATTCCCAGCAGGGCTGAACTAGATGGATAAATGGCCTAAGTATAGAGGGCAGCTTCCTATGTCCTTTCTGAAGCATTGAGCTACATGTGCACATAACAGGTAATTCCAACAAATACAAAGCTAAGCAGAAATCACCTACATTGATAATTATTTTCAGGTTATATGATATGCCAATATCCCATTTATAAGGCTTGGTTAAAAACAAAAACAGGTTTCAGATTTCTATTGTACAGGTTTGTTACCACATGACCTATTACAAAGACAGGCAAAGTGAACCCCAGACATCTCCCTTGGTGCTTACCAGACTTTCAATCTGACACCTTAAATATTTATTTAAAAAAGGAAGCTAGTGTGATGTAAAGAAAGCTCCAGCCTCTAGTACCAAATTTATTTCCAGGAGTGCCTTCGGGCCCCACAATGGCCTTAGTGGGATGATGGAGAGCATCCTGGAAGATAGGGCTATTTCAGCCTCTGATATGTGGATGTTTCTGACTGGACGTGCCTATTATGTCAGCCATTTTATGAACAGCCAAGTCTGATAGTAGCCATTTCGTGAATGCACCCCCGCATGCTTTCAACACTTATACAGACTCTTATATTCCCTTTTTTAGCAGCAATCTCCAGCCATTCAGATGACATCAATGTTCATTTCCTTCTTGCAGATAAGGGTGTTTATATAATCACAAAGTTTTGTTACCTAACTTTAAGACTATGGCAGGGGATCCACAAGAAGAATAAGCGGAATGCCTAAATAGGGTTTTTTTTTATCCTTGAGGGAAGGCCTGCAAGACTTCCTTCTCCACAAATGGAAAAAAAGATCTTCTAATTCAGTGCTTCCCAAACTTTTTCCTTCATTACCCAAAACCCTAACTTCGAACAGTCACTTAACGAATGGTCATAACTCAAGGACTACCTGTATTATAAACAGTATCATTGAATGATCTTTATGGCATTTCAACAAATTACCATTGGTAATTTCATCATTTTAGTCTTAACAGGAATACTCTGGAAGATTTTTCAATATATTTTAGTACACGTGCCAATCTTTAAGTCAATTTAAATGTCCCTGTTGTGATTGGGTAACGACACACAAACCCATTACCCAAAGAAAAACCACTTTTACCCAATTTGGGGTAATTTACCCAGGTTTGGGAAGCACTGCTCTAACTCCTAGGGCCCCTAGAACACTCCCTCTGGGATCACACAATCGCACTGCAATCACACTGCATCACTACAGTGATAGATATGATGCTCCAATATATTTTTTCACTACACAGGTTGTGGTCTTTAGTAATGCTCTACCAGGTGTACATGTTGCAAACAGCTGCTTTTAATTTAGACTCAATATCACCATGGCATTTTTGTAAAAGTGCAACAAATCTTAATCATAAAAAACTTTTAAAAAAAAATCATTTAATATTTCTTTGAGCACAAAGGAAATACAGGAAAGCTGTAATAGTCGATTTCATTATGGCAATATTTAAGCTAAGTAATAAAAAGCATGGTAGCAACCATAAAACTTTTGGATTGGTCGTATTATAAACTATGTCTGGAAATCTGGAAATCACCCACATTTCTCACACACTGCTTACTCTTACATTTAAAGTAAGATATGAGCTGAATATTAAAATTCAGGGCCATCTTAGCTGACAGGTAGAATGTGCACAAGTGGTAGAACTCTACAGTGAGCAAACCCAAAAGCAGAAAGTTCTATATATGAATCTAGGTTTCCATCACCACTTTGTAGCAATACACTGAAAAAACTTCATATACATGCAGTTAACATAAGTGGACATTAACAAAAATTGTGGGCACATTGAGACCCACAAATAAGATGTAGAAATTCCAACATTCATCCCTTTTTTATGCTAAAACTTTTCATACTAAAGTAGAAGTGGCTGAATACAGTCTGAGGAGGTATATGGAACAAAAAGGCTATTCTGTATGCTAGATTCCTCTGGAGAAAAAAAACAGACTTGCTCTATAATCAACTGCAAGATCTAAAAAAATCCTAAGTATACATTTTAGTAGATTTAATTAGCTTAATAATGATCACCAGACTCAGGGGGAAAAAAGCATTTATAGACTGAAGTTTACTAAATAACAATTCCTCTTGCAAATGTTTCCACAGAACTTTCTATTTCATGGGATTAATTATATGAGTGGAATCCAGTGATGGTTCTATCAGCAGAAAGAAATCTTAATCAAAGAACAAAGAGTGGACAATTCTCATCCTATCCAGCCTTTCTAAATGTAGAGGGCTTGGAGAAACCTCAGGAGAAAAAAAAAAAGGCAGGGAGGTGGCAGAAGAAAAGATAAAATCTGCATACACAAAACTGGATTTTACCATATATCTATAACTGATGTACCCAATTGCTCACTTATTTCATATGATGAAATATGACAAAAATTGTGGAGACAAAAACAGTATTTTCTGGCTTTGTTGCCTAGAGCTGTTTTCATCCTATTTGTCATAGTTGCCTTTAAACCAATTATTGCTTCAGTTAGCTCCAATATGATAGTGCTAGTATTGATATGAGGCCTATCATTCTTCAAAAACCAAATAGGACCACAAAAATTTGAACACTTGCTCTTAATTCATAAGCCTCCATTTATGAAAACACTTACAATTTTCTAGATTCATTTCAATGTAACCTCAATTAATCAGTACCAACCATATCTGGGTATGTTTGACACCATATAATAGTCTGATTCACCACCCGAAAGACCTGTAAACAGATGCTTCAGATTTGTGGCAGCCCCCAAGGTTCTTGCCATTGCACCTGGAGATATGCAAGGTGGACATTCCTGCCAATACATATGGAAATTTGCAAGAACAGACATTCCTCTCTGCTCAGAAATCAGAATGGGAAACATCTGTTATCCAGATTATTCTAGGCTTCAACTCTTACCATTCCTGACTACCTTCCATGCTAATTAGACTTGTTACTCTTGCACAATATCATCTGGACAGACACAGGTCCCCACCTCTGCACTAAATTATGGCCTTTTGGACAGCATTATAACCAAAGATGCCAATTTCAGTGCAATTCCTTATGAAAATTTGATGTGACATCCTTTCAGACTAAGGCCACTTGGCATAATTATGGTTACTACTCTTGCATCCATGATTCTTTGTTACACACTTCTACAATACAATGACTAAAAATAGTTCAACCACAATCCCAAGGACAGCCACTGCAACATCCACAATGTAGTTTATTCTGTATCAGAGACTACAAACAAACACCAGAGCCAGATTGTATTTAAACTCTAATCCCTTTAAAGTAACAATACACAATAAGCTTAGTACACCTTCACTTCTAACAAGTCTTGCTTGAAGTTCCACTCACTGCCTGGCAGAAGTTCAGCCAAGGAGAAAATAGCTTTTCAAAGGATGCCTGAAGTTGCTGACCTAACCACAGCCCCAAAGGGTTGTGTTAACAGGTAGAGGCAGCGACAGATGCAAGACAAAAGAAGTGTGGCTAGCCCCACCCAGTGAGAAGAACCACTTACAGGAATCGTAGCCAGACTAAGGCATTAACACCAAGACAAAAAGGGAAGCCTGTAACTGTGCCGGGCTGAGAGAGAAGAGCTGAAAGCCCCTGATTCAACTACAAGGAGTAGATTCTCCTTTGTTCCGATGAGAGGCGAAGGCGCTCTATGCTAAGGAACACTGCCTAGACTTGTAGCACGCCCCCAGCATCCCGCAGCTGTGTCTCTAAGCAGGAGGAAGCCAGAAAGACGACGGCAGGCACAACCCTCCCAAGCCCCAGAACAGATGTCGAAAAAGGCGAAGTCGCCCGTTTGTCGGCTCCAGGCTCCGTTCCCCCCAGCAACGCAAGGGCCGGCAACGGAGCGCGGCTTGCTCCTAACTACCGAAATCTACAAAGGGGCGAAAAAAGGGGGCGCACGAAAAACCACAGGTTCAGAGGACTCCAAGGCCTAAGCGGAAGCGGGGTGCAGCTGACACCTCGCCTGCCTCCGAGGCTTCCTGACGGGTAGCGGGAAGGCGACGGCTCTCACCTCACCAACTCAACAGATGGAGGCGCCGGGCGTGTGCCGGCAGGCAGGAGCGCCAGTGTGACAATAGCCCCGGCCTCTGCCTCCCTTCGCGCTCCCCTCCTCGCCCCTTAAGCTCGCAGCGGTGGGGAGACAGAGCCGCCAGCGGGAACTGCTTCTACAGGCCACAATCCCAAGAAAGGGAGCCCTCCCTGCAGGAGAAGAAATCACACCCAGGGTTTGCGAGGGGATTTATTTACGTCTCCCCCGGCGCCAAACCGGGAATCGAGGAAATCTGTGCGAGCGCCAGCCCAGCACCGCGCCTCTCCCAAATCCAGGGCATTTTGCTACACAGCCCCTTCCCGGAGATGCCACGCCGTAGAAACGGGAGCAATCGGCGAAGACAACCCCGTGTCAGGGAAGGAAGGACGGGAACAAACAGCAACTTCTTGCGGACAGGCGCTTTCCCACCCACGAACCTGGAGCTACTTCGGCCACTGGGGTCCATCCCCGTGTAAGTAGTAGTGGTAGTCATGGTGTGGAAGAACTTGGAGGAAACCGCCCGGGGACGAGGCCAGCGGAAGATGATATATCCGCACCTCCTCCCTCAGCTCCTGCCGGCTACAACTGCAGTAGCCACCCGGCACTGGCAGCTTCTTTTATAGGGTTCGTTCCTTCGATCACCTCATTGGATAGTTCAAACGCCCTGTCCCAACGTGATTAGTGAGCCTCGTGCCACTCCAGACATTGCCCCTCCTCCAAGCCCAGCGACATTTACTCGCTACAGCCGTTTAAAGTGGATTCGTCGAGAGCTAGTTACTTCGCGTGTATTGGTCGCTATTATCTGTCCCGCCTCTTGGTATATGATTTAACAACGAAGCTGTCATTCAAATAAAGTGGGTTAGCATTGGCTGGACTACACATGAGGCAGCAACAACTTCCTCAGTCTTTCTTTATGGAGTAGCAATTTGAGGAGATCCGGTCAAAGGGAGTGGCATAGCTTAGCAAGTCTCATCTGGGAGTGATCTCCAGTCCCTCCTAGGAACCGTATGGAATCAAACGAAACTTAACGCCAATAAAATACGAAATGTACCACAGATGTATTTAAAAATATACCATGTAACATACCACCAAATCGCTGCTTTACCACGGCGCCTCAAATCATTATCTTCTACAGATTGATGCCCTTAACCCCCAATTAATTTTGGTATTTATACACTATGAACGGGAATAATATACCCCCAATGACTTCTGATGTGCAGATCAACCTTGCTGCGTTATGGAGAAAAAAAGACCTAAGTAGCTACCATTTAAGCTAGCTGGCAGGAGACCTATGAAACAAAGGCAATTTTTCCAATACGGCTAGAAATGGCATTTTTCTATCAGAGAAAATGACTCTCATTCCATACATGAGGTTGTTTACAAAAGTCCTTACATTTTTAAAATATCCAGCTGTTTTTTTAAAAAAAAGTTTAAATGTTTAAAATATGTATTCTACTACTTGCACAGTAATCCAAACATATTTACCAGGGAGTAACTCTCAATGAATTCAGCAAGGATTACTTCTGAATAGAAACATATATAACTGCAAAATTATTGTGCAGGGGCAAGATTATCCAAATGTTTATATTTTGCTGAAGGAGAGATTCTTTAATTTTTCTACATCTTTTACTTGAGAATTTACACATAAAACATGTTATGCACTATACCCCCGAGAACTGATGGGTGCTAAAAACAGAAGAGCAGTCTCATCGACACCTTCATACAAACTTTATTCTATATACTTGAGACAGTGTGTGTATGCATAATAAAGCGATATATCAACAAAAACTGAAAACAAGTGCATTTCTATGCTACTTCCTGTTATTCCGTGATCTAACATGATACTCAGTGAAGCTCATTAATAAGTTATTACAAGATGCTGGTCTCAAGCTTAGTATTTCTGTAATAAGGGGGAAAAGCGATTAGTGAAACTGACTGCAAAGACAGGGAGAGATATTAGGTAGGACAAAAATCTCCACATCCATGGACTATCCTTACCAAAGTTTGTGTGTTGTTCTTTTGTGTACATTTCTACTTGTAGGAATGTTATAGGGAAAAAACTGTTGGTAGATGAGAAAAGATGGATTCACATATTATGCTAAATCAAGGTTTGCACATTAAACCATAATCTTTAAAAATTACAATAGCCAAATCCACAGAAAGCCAAAATCAAATTACACTATGGCAAAGTTGAATTCAGTGATACAGTCATCTCGAATCATGGCTGTTTCCAAAAAAGAGAAACAACCAAAATTGCTTATTACATTCTACATTCCTTGAAAGCTCATTTTTTTTCATGTACCATATCTTGAGGTAATTACCCTTTGGCATTTTTTACTCCTGTGCCTTGAAACATGATTATAACCTTGTATTTTGAAACAGATTGTAAAGAGTAACTCATACAATCCCATCATAATTCATACTTTTCCTTCTGTGCTCAAGAGAAAAAATCTGAAAACTCAGCAGTGCAGGTGCTTGGTTGTAAATTATAGGCATAATGAAAGTCAGTTAATCCATTATCGACCATGTACTTTACTTTGAAGTTATGATGGCACAAACTAATATATTTCTGAAATTAAAATCTTTCTCTGAACAGATACTTAAGTTTTTAAGCAGTATGTATTTGCTTCCAAGTTCTGAAAATCTGGGCTGCACACATGCAGAGTAGGATATGCAGCACCATTTCTGGAACACAAATATTGTTATTTTATCACAAGGGAAGTACACAATTTCATAATGTACCCATCACCTCTTATTTGAAGCAGTCCAGTAAACTCCTTAGGACTGAGGTATTTTTAAAACGTACTGAATGAATTCCTAGGTGTCACCTGGAAAATCTAGAAATTTGGTAAGATTAAACTATCCCCATAAATTCTGAAATTGTTTTACAGAAGTTGACAACTGATGCAGATTAGAGGGTATTACCATATATCATGGGGAATGGTTATAAAAAAAAAATCCTTTGCAGTTCTTATGTTCCAAATACAATCATGGCATTACTTACCTAGCCCTGACAGTCTCTCCTGCTTTAAGAGTATAAGAGAAGCAGGACATAGATCACCTGATGTCTAACAATCAACGTATTACAGAAGATTGCTCTGTACTACTGGCTAGATGGCATGTCTCATCTCTGCGACCCTGGCAATGTACCTATGGACGCCCCTCCAAACCAAAAGGAACACAGTAATTTAACCATCAAGCGCAGCAGAGTTGCACCATGAGTAAGGGACGTCTGCCAATGTTATTTCTGTCCAAACTTTCAAGTATAAATATAAAATGAATGGGTCTTTCACATTACCACTGGACTTCCAGACCACTACTAGACTTACATAATTAATTGTAAGGTTGACAAAAACCAACAATACCCCAATTATTTATTTAAAAAACCCATATCCCAATACATGTCAACTGATGCTATACACTTAATGAGAAACATAATGCATAAGATAGCCAAGAACTGAGAATTCTCAAATGTATCCTTTTATCCTGTTATTAATACAGCAATTTTATTTTACTGGTAGTTCACAGTTTCTCCACTAAAACAAATAGTATTCATGTTTCCACATTACTTTCTATTATGGTATCTCAAGAGATATTTGATGGGCCAAACTAGATTAAGATACAGAGATCCCAGAATCAGATTTCTTAAGACTTTATTTCTGTATTCATTTTGCAGTCCTGTGTTGCTGCTTTGAAGATTGTAGAAGAGTTACCTCAAATATTTCTCTCATGCTATTTCCCTAATCTGAATTAGTCTCTTAAACTATTAGCTCCATGTAGAACCTTAGTACCTTCTGCCGCTCTCATTCCCAAATAATAAAGCAGGCAGGAATAGGGTTTCCATTTCCCTTCCCCTTTTTCGGTCTTCAAAACAGTCATATGGATCAGCTAATCAAACAACTATCTATCCATGAACAGGAGTACCTGACTGCAGATCAGCTGCATCTGCCTAGTTTCTTCTTGTCTTTCCAAGTAACTGCCCAATTTTACATTTACAAAGGCACAAGAACATGTTGCTTTTAATCCCAAACGTTTGCACAAAAAGAGAAACATAGCATATCAATCTAGCAATTTAGAAGCCTCATTTCTTGCCAAGATTTTCATTGCGAGAAGTGATATTTAATGCACCCTCCACATCCAGTCAGCCTCCCTGCTACTGGTAATTTAAACTTGTCTAGACAGTAGACAGAAATATAAGAACTAAGGTTAAAATCTGATGAAATAGCAAAAAATTAGTTGTTTCTATCTTTTTATCAGGTGATTGGTTCTAAGCTAAGCATGATTACAGCACAGAAAAATAAGCTGTTTATTTTAAACAAGAAGTTTATTTAAACAACAAGACGGAAGGGAAAACTATCCAAGATCAAATTTTGTTTTAGAGTAATTTACCCCTACTTAAAGACAGATTGCTCTACATGTAACAGCTACGTACAAAAAAGTTATAAAATTGTCCTCGGTTGTACAACGATAAAAGAAAAACAATGAAATTGTCCAATCAAACAAAGTATGTAAGGTTTTTGTTTTTTCCAACAATGAGAGCAAAAATAACTTACTGGAATATAAAGATAAAAGTTAGAGGAGCATGCCACTAGTGGAGAAATGGGATATTTTCACAGACCAGTTTGTTTTTACCACCCTTTCTCCATATGATGTTGATCAAAACATACAACTGGCTATTTAGTTAAAAAAAATATGCATGTCTGTGCACATACACCAGTTACTTTATGTACAATAGAAGGAATAAGAAAAGAAATCAGAGAAGAGAGAAAGCTATACTGTAGTAGTCAAGATGTGGCTGAATCAGGTCTTTTTTTTCTAACTGTGAATATGTTGTCTGTGGGAAAGAAAGTTTGGTTCTCTCTTTTAGTACATGCCTCCTGTCTGCTGCTGGAACACATCAATTGTATCTTCATCCTCCATTTCCAACTGTATTGAAAAAAATTACAAGTCAGTTCAAAGTATGACAAGTAATATAATCCAAGTTTTCTTTGGATTTCTCATTACACTCCCAAGAGCACAGAGACAAGAAAAGGATAACTAGAGATCACCTTGTGGTTGGATTGTTAAGTAATGCAAATCTAATACTTCATTTTCTTCTGTTCACTTACACCGCCTCCGCCGCCCCCATTCAACTCTATTAGGAAATAGACATTTTATTACACAAAATGATTTTGTTCAACTTGTCTCTTGGTAGGCTGGATTCAGAGAAGCGTAAGTGGAAGATCTCAGCCAATGGGGCTTTCTTGAATCTTACTCTAATCAAAGCCCTTGTAAGCCCCCAAAGCTGCTCCTTTCAGTCAAAGGGCTCTTTGGAATAGACAAAAATGAATACCTCTGCTATAAGCAGGGTAAGGGAACTGACAGAATTCAGAGCAAGCTTCTTTCTTTGAACAGAAGCGTCTTTAGATACCAGCCAATAGGTTTTGATTATTCAGAGTCAATTTTAGTACTTCACTTGGTGGATTATTACAAAAACTAACTATCATTTTTTAGGCCTAAACTAATTGGGATCTTCAATTGTTAACAGGAAGAAATAATACTCCATTCCCAACCTGAAGGCCATGTTGCAAGAGGAAACCTGGATGTTCAAACTGTTTTTAAAGACATTGCAATATTGTTTTTTAACTGCTGCATCAAGCCATTAGTGGAACAAATATTCTACACACATTTTTACTTCAATAACTTTCAGAAATAAGCAAAGTTTAGCTACAAAGAAATATGTAAGGATTCTGTTTAAAACATTCCTTGGGGTTTATACTTCTAAACAATTTTTACTTTTTCACACCAGCAAGAACTTTAATAACCTTTTCTTTTTACCTGTGCAGGTGTATCTGTTTCATTGATTGGCTGCCCATCAAACCGGAATCTGATTTGCCTCATTGACAAACCCTACATAATACAAAAATAATCAAAATAGGCAGTTGAGAGAAATAGCAACCAAAAACAACCACAATTTACCTAAAACTGTACACTGCTTCTCTATCCAAATTCATATTAAAAATGGATTAGATGTTGTTTATTCAGCATTAGTGTTCATCAGTGACCCTACCAGTAGAACTTAACTTTAGCTAAATCTTTTAATCCAGAATCAATTATTTAAGACCCAAAGATTAAAGTAGTTCAGGACCAACTTTCAGAAATGATAGAAACCAAGCGATTAGAGTTCATAATCATAAAACAAACTTTCCTAAACTAAAAAAATGCTGTACAGATACAGCACATTTTAGTTTTGATAGACATACACTGTTATTTATGTAGTACTGTATCCATTTATAGGTTCAAAATGACCTTCCTCTCAAAAAAACAAACACATTTGGAGAGGTTTCTGTATAATAAGTTCATATTTATTAAATACAGGTGACCTTTCTTTTTTCCAATTTGTACTATAAATATTGAATATATACATAGTTCACACATCATAGCAAACTATAATGTTATGAGTAACTACTGTAACATTCCTAATAACCCATGAAAGAAACCAAGGCTTAGTGGAATATGTAAATCCAGTTACAGTAAATCCCACATTTAATGTATAAATGGGAAGGAGGGATGACCAATAAAGCTGAATGCCCATTGTGAGTTTGCCCTAACCCTAACAATGAGTAAGGCACAACTGGTAAGTAAAGCAAGGCTGATGTGTGTCCTACGGCAGCTCCCACTGTAACATATCCTATTGCCCGCCCTCCCATCTTCCCAGCCTCCCCCAGAGTTGCTACCAATGTCCTAGCACAGTAAATCCCTTTCAGCAGATTTTTGTCCATTAAATCCCAACTCTACTAAACTGAGATCCATTAACTAGAGTTTTTACTGTATTGTTTAGTATTCCATAATCTCTGGATTATCTCATTTATAAATGCATTCTGGTAACTGAAAAATACAAAGGTAAACTTGGTGCAAGCATCGCATAGCAGCTCAGCCAAACTGCGCACATATTCAGTGACTAGTTAAATTATCTTGTAGGAGAGCCATGTTAGTCTACAGTGACAAAAAAAATCAGGAATCTGGCAGCACCTTTTCCAACTAATAAATGTTATTAAAAGGCATGAGCTTTTGAGCTGCAGCTCATTTCATGTACAGAGTAGCTAGATTACATCAGTCTCCATCCTGCATCAGTCTAGTTACTCTATGCATCTGATGAAGTGAGCTGTAGCTCACAAAGGTTTATGCCTTTTAATAACGTTAGTTGGAAAAGGTTTTACCAGATTCCTAGTTAAATCAACTTAAGACTTGAAATAAATGTAGAGTTTAAAATATCTGCACTAAAAGATAGTTACAAATCCTTCCTGGAACGCACTGTACTGTGCAGTCAGAATTTACACACAATAGGACCAGAACCAACAAGATACAGGTTTGACTATTTCTGCCATCACACCTAATTTTGTTGCACATTATCAGACAAGAACTATCCTCTGATATGAAATTCTTACTGCACAAAGCCTAGCAAAATACAGATTTGTGTCATCTTGGAAGGGGGGGGAATCTTTTACCAATTACCATGCTAATGGACAATATGGCTCAGTAGAGCCGTTCTTTTACACCAACCTGCATTATGCGAATATTTGGTCCCAATGTCTTTCTCTAATACAGGGGCTAGAGATCTGCTGATAAATAATAAGCAATCCCATCCATCAAAGTAAATATGTTGGAACTGCAGTTCAGCAACATCAAGGATTCCCAAGTCCTTCCCTAGCAGAAAACTGTATGTGAATCCCATTGAATATAAGTTTAATGCTTGGGAATGTTCAAATACAGAAAGTCTTCACAACTGTTATGGTAGATGACTCCCACGTTCCTTTATACCCCATAATTCTATGAAATTTCTGTATACTGTGATTAAAAAAGTAGTTTCTCTCAAGTGAAGTTCAACTCCTGGTGACTCCTGGAAACAACATGGAAGTGCCACTGTATTTTTCCAGATTATGTTTAAGGTACCAATTACAGTAGTTCCATAATCACTATTTCTTTTATCCATAATTATAAAAGCAGGATATACACCACTGAGGAAACCAGCACTAAGAAAAGAGGTGACTTCTTTTCCACTTTTGGTTCCAGTTACCTACTGTATATGGGAAAGCAAAAGACTTAAGAATAAATTCTGTTACCATCTAGCGGTCATCCAGAGGCATGCAGCTCATATAAGGTACCTTTATTAAATCATCAAAAATAATGCCTCTTCATGGAGTTTGTAGTAGGCTGAATCAAGATAACAAGACCTTGTTTTGCCAGTTTATCTTGAACAGTAAAATCTATACCCAGATGCATTTTAACATTAAACTCTACATTTATCACAATTACAAAGCTTTAATACTCTACAAGTTTAAAGATGGTTCAAAATACATTTCATATGGCTTCTCACCTGTCGTTCACAATAAGCTTTCATTAGTTTACTAAGTGGTGTATGCCTTTTAATCTTAAATTGCACCACAGATCCATCTTGCCCTGCAACCTTCAGATTAATATGATCGTTATTTTCAGTCTTCACTCCTTCCTGTAAGAGAGGGGGGAGACAGAATGTTAAAAGTAAGTTACTCCACTTAGTAAAATGTCATCAAGTTCAACATTCACATTACATCTTGTAGTTGTAGGATTGCTAAAGGACTAACCATTATAATTCTCAACTTCAGCAATATAATTAACTATTCATTATCTTGTAAACAAAATTCAGTAAAGTATTATCAAAATGAAGGTTTATGGTATCAGATAATAAATCCCATGCTTTATGTTCTAAACAATATGAGTTAACTTGATTATATTGTAGATACACAGCAGTGCCAAATTAACAAGACTCATTACAGTTGTACACACTTATACTGTATGGGAATAAGCCCCACTGAACTCATAAAACATACCACTAACTAGACATACATAGGGCTGTAATGTAAATCACAGAAAGAAATTCCTCATATAGTACAATGATGAGTTATTTTTACTTTTAAAATAAGGGGGAATTTTTAAAGGTAGCAACACTGAGCTTTAAAGAATTCAATGATCAATGTTGTCTTTCTTAGAAAGCTGTAACTATTCATTGAATTTTAACTTTAGCACACTGCTTGCCAATACCAATTTTACTTTGACTAAGCCAAGTATTAAGTTATTGTTCTAATATATTTAATGTATGCAATTCTCAACCACAACTAGCCCACAAATTTTATGCTCTTTAACAAGCTCTTTAACATAAAACTAGCTCAGTCTTTGTTTTTAAAATAACTCCTTCACATTACTTCTTAAAATGTGCCTAATATTCTAATAATATTCTAATGAAGCATGAACACCCTATACATAGTTCTTCAACTCTGAAGCTTCATTAGACAATGTGTCATAAACAGGAAAATGAAACCAAACAAATGGACTAGCGTAAAGAAATTTGCAAGTAATCTTTATAAAAATATGTATTATTTACACTCTGAAGAAATCTTTTCTAATAAACTGCAGTGCTATCCCACAGGAGAGGGGAAAGTACTCTGTCATTTCAGTTTAAAGGGTACCGCTTAACATAACTCTTCTTTAAGACAAGAACAAGCAGAGATTTTCAAGAACCATCCTGTACCTCTGCAGATTAATAGCTATGACCCTCTTTATGACTATCCACAGCATGCAGAACTCTACATCGGCATGACTGCTTTCCTGCAACGGACCTAAAATTTCCCCCACAGACGTTCATGCCATTACATCTGTTCGGAACACACTCGCTCCCAGGGCGCAGCACTTCCACATCTCCTGGAAAACACGCACGGCTGTGCCGCACCGATCTCTCCCTACGTACCACACACTGCGATGCACAAAGCAAACCTCATAAATCCTGTTTCCTTTTGAAAAGACTTCTTTATTCCACCGCCTTCAGCGACAAAGCCCTTTCTCCGAGACATTCTGCGAGTCCCAGAGAGATCTCTGAAACCATCAAGATTTTGGCGCCTCCAAAGTCGTATTTAAAACGAGGAGGAGGAGAAGCCCGATCATCGGTTGTCTATTACCCCGCTGAAATAAAAGGAGGGGGGAGGGATTACCTGCTACTGGACGACTCACGAAGCACCGGTGCGTAGAGCGGCTGGGAAAGAAGCAACAACACAAAGAGGCCTAACATCCCCAGTCAGTAAGCCGCTGGACGGCACCCGGCACAAGAGGGACTAGCGCCTATTTTTTTCTGAAGGAGGGCGGGGGAGGGGAGAGAGCATATTCCAGGAAAGGCGAAGCAGCCCCACTGCTTTACAAAGCCAAGAATGCTCCCTATTCCTAGAAGGGAGAAGGCGAACCCCTTTTTTCTCGAAAGAGCACCCCCATTCCTTCCCCCGCCCTCCGGAAAGAGCCCAGACCGAGACCGGGGGGAGGGGAGGAAAATGGCGCGCAAGACCCGGCGCGGCAGAGCCTGCGCTGCGCTCTCCTCCCCCTCCCCCTCCCCCGTGCCGGCCCGCAGCCCTTCTCTCCCTCGCTCGTTCACCTTGGGCTTCTCGTCAGCCATAGCGAGTCGGCGGGGTCTGCTCCGCTCCAAGCACCTCAGAGCAAGTGGGGGGACGGAAAGATGAAAAAGCGACCGCGACGGCCGAGACAGAAAGACTGGGGGAGGGGGCGAATGAACGCGCACGTAATGCCGCGGGGCCGCGCCTTGGCTTGCGAGAGCGCGCACGCAGTGCTTTCTCCTCCCCCTTAAGCTGCTTCCCCATTGGGCCTCGACTTACGAGAGCGCGCAGCGCCGTTACATAACTCAGAAGAGAATGGCAGAGCGAGGATAAAGCATGAGTGCGTGCGCGCACCCAGGGGCATCGTCCGCGCCCCTGTTTGACGTGCGCGCACCCCGCTGGGCGCAGTGAGCTTTACTCTTGTTCGTGAAGAGGGCATTGTCTTTTCAAAATGGCCGCCGGGCCTGTGTGGTTGGAGAACTCACTCTTTATGGTCTTCTAAGTAACTTTGTGTTACTATGTAAATTACACATAATGTGCTTGCCTTCTAATAATAATAATAATAATAAACTTCATTTATTCTCACTGTATTCCATCACTTATGTCCCCCATCTGATACCACAAAAGTTAACTACTGACTCTTCGAAGTAACACTAGATATGGTTACTGGCTCATGTAGCTCAGATGTTACACTAACTTAAGTATGTCCCATTATAACACACTACATAAATAGTAAACCATGCTTACATTCAATTGTCGGGTCATCATACTATTTAATGTGTAATGCTACTAAAATACACAGTGTGGTTATGTTTCCCCAGCATGCTGAACCACAAATTAGCCATCATCTTTAAACTTAGATTGCTGCACAATCTCAGCATATATGGAAAAGATGCAGGATGTCATGCAAACCCAGAAAATTAAATCATATGAACCACAGTAAGCTTACCATAGGTATGTTAAACAAAGGTAGCATCCCATTGCTTCACAATCGTGTAAAAACTTAACTAAATTTTGCTAGCATTTGTTAAATGAGGGTTCACGAACATAATACCCTTTGATCTGAGAGAGTTATATGTAAAACAATGGGAAAACACGCTGAGTAGGAAATTATTTAAACTTGTCAGCAAAAAGAAGGGTTTTTTAAATCTATAACCCTAACCCTAGTTATACGCAATTGTAATTTTTCACTACTGTAATACTAGTCAAAGGTGTGGGTAATACATCAGTATTATCTTGGAGGGAATATGAGAAGTTTTGATGAGCTTGGATAATTACCATGTATAGCATAAACCAGAACCTGCACTTTGTCCAGTTTTAATGGTCATGGTAAGGAGGTTAGATTACCAAATTCTTAATGCAGCTGCATAGTAAATTCTAGCAAAGCCTTGGAAGTCTAATTGCCTGTGATCATCAGCTTCTTGTACTTAAGCAGGGTTTAACCATGGTTAATTTCACCAGTCTTAGCCCAATTTTCTAAGATTAACCACTCTGAACCTTGAACTGCATCATCTGATTGATTTACAAACTTGTGATTTGCTAGTTTGTGGTTTAGCACAGATGTTTTATATGGTAACAATTGCACTTGCTAAAAAGTTAACCAAGTAAATAAAAGTAATAAAGACAAAGATGAAAATAACCTTACAGATATTTGGTTTAGTTTCCTTTTTTAGTTCCAGAGTTAATAGAACTCCACAAACACTTAAAATCATCAAGAAGGGATAATCACATTCATCAGACATTTAATTATTAAATTATTTTAGTACCTATTTGCATTTTCATGTTAATGACTTAGCTATACAGTACATATATCAGCAGCAGCCCAAATCAATCCACTGTAGGATGAAGGCCTCTTCAGTTGCTTTGCAACTGCTTCAATGTGCCACAAGTAATTTCCAGTTAACACTTCAAATGTATATACAGCTTATAACTATGCATAATGTGTCAGCTAGAAGGCCACACCAGGGTTTGTGTGGCACGTGAAAGGTTGCAGTCTAAAAGTGAGTGGGGAAGAACCATTTTATATCTTGGTTTCAGTTTTAAAAAGTGAATTAGGTATCTTAAGAATATACAAAACTTACAGCACCCATTTTACCACTTAAAACCAGTACCCCAAATCCCCAACAAGCAAAAAAATTCCCAGATTTTTTACCCTATCCTCTGTGATGGATGAAGGATGCTGGTGGTCCATTTTTTACAGCTCTTGGCATAGTATTCTGGAGAAATCCAGCATTAGTTTTTTTTAAAAATTTCCTTGATAATTATTGGTTTTGTTTGCATACTTACCTATGATTAACTTAACTATGGTTTATTTCATTTCCTGTCTGCAGAACCAGTCAAACCACTGTGAATCCAAGTTAATAAGGATTCATATAATAAGCTACACCTAAAGCAAAAAAATTAGCATGAGTTACTTTACAGCCCACAGTTGTGCAGTCATTATCTTAATTATGAATTATTGATGTCAATAACAATCTGTTTAGTTATTGTTTTATAAGGAATGTTACTGGAACGTCATTAATAAAAATTAGAAAATAATGCCATGTGTATGTGTTACTGGGAATATTGTGATGTTTACAAATACATAAATATTGGGTATAAATATACATTTATATATTTCAGTGCAAAACAACACAAAATATGGAAAAGAAACAAATTATACACAATGGAAAAATTATAATTTAAGATTCTATACTTGAATACTTCATTCTTGAACATCCTGGATAGTACAGTACTGAATGTACTACTGCTTCCAGAAATGTGTTGTCTTTTGACTCATTGCACTTTAATGTCACAAATCTTAACAATGCAGACTGTGCTGTCAGCCAACAGCTTCTATTTTAGTCTTCCATGTCCATTTTCACTGCACTTCTGAAGATCAGGGAAACATGTCAACCAAAATAAAAATGGCAAAAGAGAAGAATAAAAACATACAAGCCGCTGAGCATCTTTTGTATTTTGGGGATTGAATCTGTATAGCAAAAAAGCCAGTCCTGCTGCTGTACTGTTGAAGTAACTTGTTAGTTTGGTTTTGACTTAACATATTGTATGAACCCAGCCATTCTGGGTTGTAAAACATGCTTTGTGTTTTGTGTGTCGTCACATGAACCTAACTAATTAAGATTACTTACTTAACAATGGACAAGCAAGTCATAGGTTATGTGATATATGAACTAATTTCGTGTGTATAGTGAATAGCATTTTATGTGCATCATTCCAATTTCATCCATTTTCATGTAGTTCAACCACTTTTGGAAGGCCTGAGAAGTTTCCAGGAATTTTATAATACTTAGTTTATGTACAAAAATACAGGCAGTATATAAGTAAATGCACAGCTTAAACTTTCCAGGACAAGTTCAAGCCTCTTTTTTTAATGGAGCCCAATTTGTGGTGATTATATGGATTATATGCTTTCATGCATTCTTGGCAGCAATACAGAAGTGGTCTTCTCAGATTTTTTTTTAAACTTTCCAATTTAGTCTACTATCTTGAGTATTAGCGGTTTCCCATGCATATACTAAGCAGGCCACCCCTTCTTCTGAGCATAGACAAGGTGTGCTCTCTAACTGCTCCTAGGCTGTATCTCCAGGGTGTAGGACTAGTTCATACTTTTCACTAAACAGTACAATGTGGTTTGCTGGCTCTGAATTAACACAATGTGCAAACCCAGCCAACCAAGGCAAGTTCAGGAAACCATGTCTTAGCATGATGCTTGAACTCACTGAGTGAGAACTCTGTACAATTCCAAACTGAGTTTTTTTTTTTCCAGAGGCAAACACCTTAATTACATTATCCCCACCTGGGAAAATAAGGGAGGCATCCCACTCTTTCAGATATTTGGTGGCCATTGGGAAGTCAAGTTGAATGCAATCAGCAAAATTAGTTCCCATGGCAACTTTATAACCTTCAATTTGCCTAACGAATGTGTAAGCTGCAGCTGGTCAACTGACCACTTGACAGACCCTTCTCTTACAGTTGCAAAGTTGGAGGAGAACTTACAGCAGTGTTTCTCAAGCTGGCTGGGGAATTCTGGGAGTTGAAGTCCACACATCTTAAAGTTGCCAAGGTTGAGAAACACTGCCTTAGAGTGTATCTAGTCCAAGTCTCTGTTTGCAGTCAGTATTCTGTTTTAGGAAATGGTTTGTTCTGTGATACCAATAGAAGAGAATATCTGTAGCTCAGAGTTGAACTGTGGAGTCCTTGGTGTTCTCTGAGGTTGTTTGTTTGTTTGCAGATGTTTCGTTACCCGATTAGGTAACATCTTCAGTGCTCAGTACTGAAGGTGTTACCTAGTCAGGGAATGAAACGTCTACAAGCAAACACGTCAGAGAACACCAAGGACTCCATTGTTCTGTGATGCCAGTCGTGATAGACTAAGAATAGCTTTCCCTTCAAAAATGCTCAGGTGATCAATAAAGGCATAAAACGCATCCATGGTGAAATCAAAGCAGACATCTATTTAACCAATTTCCTTCAACAGTCAGAAGTTATTTCCCCAAGATATTCCTGTCAAAAATGAAATAAGACTGTTACATAAATCTTCACACTGATTATACAAAAAATTGTTAAAAACTCAGTTTTTATCTCACTTTTCCATCGTAGAAGAATGGGGCCAATACCATAATGAATAAAGGTATCAATAGGGCAATGGAAAACACCTTAAATTATACAAATACTACATACATAGGATGCTTTTTCCAATAGGCATTGTTATGCAACAGTATTTGTCATCTTTCCTTGCCCTTCCATATTACATCCGCAATTCTTCACAACTTCTAGTTAATCCTGAATACTCAGTTTAAATAGGAATAGCTGATAGTCTGTTACAGCAAGAACAGAGCTTTTAAGATTAACATATAAGCAAAAATATTTCATGGACTATGACTGATTTGATCAGCCACACAGTGTATTGCCCTGAAAAAGCATTATACACGCATCTATCAATTACAGATATTGAGGGCAATAGTAAAGGATCAGAGACAAATGTAGCATACGAAGTGCAGAATGAAAACTACCCACAAAAACCCTATCAAAGCAATTCTCAAATATCCTAATGACCACCTCCTACAAACCACTAAGCAACCCTCAAGCATATAGCCAAATTTTGTATTTTTCTACATTTGGGAGGGTGCCTTCAAGTCAGTGTTGATTCCTGGCGACTGCCTGGACAAGTCTCCAGAGTTTACTTGGCAAGATTTCAGCAGTGGTTTGCCATTACCTCCTTCCTAGGGCGAAGAGAGAGGGACTGGCCCAAGGTCACCCAGCTGGCTTTGTGCCTAAGGTGGGACTAGAACTCATGGTCTCTTGGTTTCCAGCCTGATGCCTTAACCACTAGACCAAAGTGGCTCGTTTTCTGCATACTTTCGGAACTATTTGAAACTTCTAAATCTGCATAAACTTTCGGAGCCACAGACAAGATTCTAAGGATATCTCCAATAGCAAATTGGAGACATCTTCAAAGCACTCTGACACTTTCCTTCCATAAGCCCACTCATGTGTTTAGGGATATAAAGAACTTTTGAAGAACTAGCTGGATAAATCTGCTCAGGAGGGTTACAAGCATTCTCTTCCCATTTTTCCAGTCACTTGTATAAAATAAAGATTCAAACTAGAACACTTCTAAAGTTATTTAAATCACATAATGGAGACTTGTGGTTTATCCTGGGTCTGGCCTCTGCAGTAACAAGTGTTGTGGGCTGACCCATCCAATGAGGCAGTGTACCCCCTCCAAATGTGTTTTGTGGTTACATGTCCTGTTTTCAGAAGAAATAAGACGTGCCATGCCTTCAGACAGGATTATAGGGCCCCTAAAATGTCCCCACAATCCCTAATTCCTCCTGAAAGGAAATGGTAGCCCACTCACTTGAGTGGCATAATTATATCATTATTTCATGTTTTCCCCAGCTGCTGCAAAGGAAAAAGTTATCTGTACATTAAAAGATTCCTACCACTCACACCAAGACCTTCATGAAGCAATGACATTTACAAAAGATTATTCCCCCACTTTTCAAATGTTGACTTCTTCTGATATGCATACTTACTGCTTTTCTTCCTTATTGCAAATGAGGTAAAGAAATGTATCCTAAATTTTTCATTGTCAGACATATATATTTTGACTAAACGTCACAATTTTCTATATTGACAACTTTTTCCCATTCTTTTCCCATCATTTTCCAATTCTTGGGCTTCTCTTTCTTCCTGTTGTCATCACTGCTACCAGCCTCCCATTTCTTGGTCTACTGTCAAACCATTTTACTGCACATAAATGAATCTGCTTTATCTGTTCTATCCAAGCATTCTAGAAGTGGGCTTTTAATCAATTTCATAGTAATGCACTCTTAGCTCCTTTCATTAATTACTTTCTCACAATGTTAGGTCCTCCATTAAAAACAAGCGGGGGAGATTCAGGATTTTTTTTTATTCAGGACATAACTAATGTCATAAGATTTGATGAGTCCCAGATTAGTTTTAAAGGAGACTGGATAAAGTCATGGAAGTTGTAGACTATTAATTCTTACTAATCATTATGGTTATTTACTACATCCTTGATTGCTAGGTTTACCTTAAATACCAGCTGCTAGAAAGCAATTGTGGATGAAAGTCCTTGTTTGTGAGCTTTTTGTATGCATCAGACCATTGTGACAGAGAATAAGGGCCCTTCTTATATTTTTTTATTTATCAATCATATTCATATAGCTGCCCATCTCACATAAAAGTGACTCTTTACGGTACTCAGCTGCATGAGGAAGAGCCCTTCTTATATTGTATTTTTATTTATTTATTTATTTATTAATCAATCAATCATATTCATATAGCTGCCCATCTCACATAAAAGTGACTCTTTACGATACTCAGCTGCATGAGGAAAGCCTCCAAACTCTCTACTCTAATAACTCTATAAAATTGCTGGCTTTCCTATGGCAAGGCTTCTGTTCATATTTGGAACATCAACTTCCTTTGGATTAAAGTTATCAAATATGAATGACAAAGTCTTGGATGATATTAGACACTCTTTATAAAACATGTATAGATTGATTCAAATTATTACAAAATATTTTTAGCGTTACATCCACATCGGATTGCTTTCACAGTCAGATGACATGAGAATAAAAACCATCATTAATTTGAAAAAATATTGTGTACAGTAGGTGAAATTCATAACTGCTAGTACAGCTAAACTTCTATTCATGTATACCTGAGTATCACTGCATTCAGCAGAGCTAACATTTAGACATGTGTTGATGATACTGTGTAGGGAAATTTCTCTCTGGAATAAAATGATCCACCTTACAAAAATGAGCAATATGCTGCCTTCCCAGAGTGAAACCATGCATGAGGTCTTACCTAATATAATGAAGTTTGCTACTAATTAAGACTGTAATGAAACATACTCTAATTTTTTTTTTAAGAAAATGATACATTAGTGTAATTCCAGGTTTGCTCAGAAATGAATCCTATTAAGAACCAAGTTGTTCATACCAGGGTATGCAGTGCAACCTTTACCAAAAACCAGATTTATATACTGTCTCATTTTTCCGATGTATCTATTTCAATTTGCCTGAGCTCTCCAAATCATGTACTTTTCACACAGAATCACTATCCAAACAAGAGCTGAAGTGATTAAAATACAAGCATCACTTTTGCACAGCAGCACACTTACAGATCTACCATACAGACACCATTAACATAATTCTGTATTTGATATGTATTTAACATCCTCCTTCGTGGGCCAGCTGAGATTGTTCCCAACTCTTCAAACAGCAGAAGGGAACACAATTCAAAGTGGTTCCCCCAAAACTGAACAGGAAATAATGGCAATTTTTAGCATATATAGTTAAAAAGCAGGATAGTTTCTCCTGAAGATGGAATCAGTGCAGGGCAAGAGCTCTCTGTATGCAACTGAAATTCAGAATACCTTGGAAGAGTGGCAGGAATAAAGTGTAACAATTAATTTCTAATAAGCTTTACAGGCAACTGGTCTAAAATCAAAAAAATCAGGAAGGTTGCAGGCTTTGCGGTCAGTAATTCTTTCCATATGTTCCCCCCCCCCCCCTTCGGTAGCGACGCTCTTAATGTTCTTGATATAGGAAAAATTATCATCCATCGTGATGGAAAAGGTCTCTTTTCAACTCATAGGCAAGTCGTTGAGAAAACTCACACCGCAAGAAATAGATGTTGAGCGTTGAAGTAACTTCGTAACCCGTCAGGCAGTCTGGTAGAGAACCACAAAGGCGGGGAAAGAAACTTGATTTATGGAGTCACATGTACAAGAAAAAAAAAAAAAAAAAAAAAAAAAAAA